AATGCAATGTCCTACAAAGTAAAACCAATTGATTAATTTCATGTATATTTTAGTCACTACAGATGGGACGGCGGGATCCCCCCTCTCCCCACCGACCCACCAGTGCACGTATGAAATACGATGTGTTTACACTTTTTAAAAAAAAGAAAGAAAGAAAGGAGGGTTAAAGACTGATAAAAAGCGTAGGACAGTGTTTTGTAGTTAGATCAGAAGTTTCGGACTTTTCAAAATAATTCAAAATAAAAAGAAAAATATTGCTGCATGACACATACTATTTGATTTGCAATAATTATGAGATTAAACGACCATTGAATTTCGACGTTAAAAAAACAATCGTCAATAAAGATTCCATGGGAACATGATCCTATTTATAAATTTAACCTGATATTTAATTAAGGATTAATTAAGTCTTGTGTATGATTTAATATTTGATATGTTTAAATTAAATTATTTGCATGTTTAACATATATGCATGTAATATTGAAAACAGAAAACGAACTTTTAGGCATAACCTAAACCTTACGTCACACAATAAAGAGTTGAAATATTCTAAGATATACTGACAAGAGGCTAAGCATTTTAGACACAATGTAAAGATACAATGGCATAACATAACATAATAATGATTTGTCAAAAAGTAAGGGAAAATTGACATTATGTAATAGATTCCCGTTGTCATGTAGCTTATTGATGACATAATATAGTAAAGAATTGGCCACATGTGACATTTTTTTCACATCATGTAATGAAATTCTGACATCGTGTTATAGCGACTTGATATTGAATTAAAGATAAATTCACATCATGTAATGAACTACTTAGGCCATATAGTAGAGAGTGCACATAATGTAATAATGAGTTGAAATTATATAAAAACATCTTTACACCACGTAAAATTGTCTTGACTTAATGTTATAAAGAGCTGATATAATGCAATGGAAGATTGGCGCAATGTAATTGAAGTGCGAGTTAATGCCATAAAGACTTAACATAATGTAATGGAAAGTTGACACAACGCAATAGTAGTGTGTGTAAATGTCATAAAGAGTTGACATAATGTAATGGAAAGTTGACATAACGCAATAGTAGTGTGTGTAAATGTCATAAAGAGTTGACATAATGTAATGGAAAGTTGACATAACGCAATAGTAGTGTGTGTAAATGTCATAAAGAGTTGACATAATGTAATGGAAAGTTGACTCAATGCAATAGTACTGTAAGTAAATGTCACAAAGTGTTGACATAATGTAATGGAAAGTTGACAAAATGCAATTGTAGTGTTCTGCTATAAGGCAGTGACGGCGTGCCATACGCTAATAAACTATGTTCTTTGACTTAAGACTGAAGTTTTCAAAATCATTACTACTAATGTTTATTTATTTAGATAAAACTTCATCTTATTTATGTTGCTTTATTTAGCGTTTGTATTATCTCAGAAGCGGTTGAGAGTAAGAACTATATTTTTACACGTAACTTTAAAATGGCGACTATGGGGTTGACATCCTGTCTTGAATAGGATGACATAAGCCGGCAATTGCTCTTTGAGCAATAAGCCCGGCTAAAAATGCATTAATTCTTTGAAAATCTTTTTCTGTGCTCCTAGGTATCAAATAAGCTAACTAAGTACATGGTTATGATGAGCAAGCTAAGAATGCCTCTACCAAAATTTGAATTTCATGGCCCCAGGGTCAGGGGTTCTGGTGTAAAGGAGGGGCTTTATAATGATTATTTAGTGAAAATACATTAATTCTTTGAAAAATTTTTCTGCTCCTGGGTAATAAGCAGATTAACTACCTATATAGTTATGATGTGCAATGGTTCTTCTTCCAGAATTGTGAATTTCCAGGTCCCTGTGTCAGGGACACCATGGGGGTGGGGGTCTACTTATATACTGAAAATGAATTGTTTGAAATCTGCTCCTTGGTATTAATCAAACATTTTTGATAAGCAAGTGTGCCTTTTCAAAAATTGTGCAATGTGTGGACCTAGTATCTGGGGTTCATGTGTGGTAGGGTTACTTCTGATTATGATTAATGCTGAATATTAATGATTAATTGATATGCATTTTTTTGTTCCCCTTACCCTGCCTATGGGTATTAAGGAGGCTTGGGGGTCAACAAATTAACAACCAGATATAACATATATCTTTAGCTGTCAACTATCATTTGACAAAGAAAAATTTCATACATATTAGCTTTAAAATTTGACTATTTTTGTATATCTTTATATGGAGCTCTTCTTCTTAAGGAGATCGAAATAGTCTAAAAATGGCCATGACCACCCAGCCCCTTCAACGACGTTCGATCCTGATATTTAAAGTCTTAAACATTTTTTGCCAAGTATATTTTAAGTTTCTGCAAACATAGCTTAATTAAAATTCAAATCAAAAAATGGGGGTCAGTACGCTTCTTTTGGCGCTACAATACATTTAATATGACTGCACTGAAATTTGTGTCTTAATTGAAAATTACATTTTTGATGTTTTCCCTCCAATATTTTTATCCAATTAAAGCATGAAACAAAATGAACTCTAAGTTTGATTAAAAAAAGACACTTAAAAATTGTGACTAAGAAAAAGTTTCAAATTGCTCAGCATAATCATTTATTTGACCTTTCTGCACTAATAAAATATGATTTTTCTGGCATTGAAATTTAAAATAAGTAAAAAATTATTTAAAAGTCTTAAACTTTTTCTGAAATTAAGCAAATAGGTCAAATTTATCTTGAATATTTAGAAAAGAACATTAAAAGTTGGGGTATATGATGTAAATTTTCAGATATTACTAAAAAAGTGTCAATTTTACGTTAAAATTGACTCAATTTTCACCCGGATTTTCAAAATATATTTACTACATTTTTCAAACTTTGTTGATAGAATTCATAAGATATAATTTAATAGATATTTCAGAACCAGTATAACACATTTCACTGCAAAAACAGCTTTGTGTGCAACCAGGATTGGAAAATAGGAATCCAAAAGTAACAGTACTGTTATAGTTCAAAATGGAAAAACTGATCATTTTCGTCTAAAAAACCTTCCGCCACAAAATATAGTCCCTAGCTTAATTCTATTTGAAGGGAATTTAATCGCGGTTTTTTCATTGAATATAGTTAAATTTGCACTGTAGAATTCAGATTTAATGTTGGAACTTAAAAATGATGGAGAATTTTATAAATAAAGGACCTGACCAAAATATGCTCAAAATCTCAGGATCGAACGTCCTTAAGTAACCAAACGAAGCAATTGCTAAGTTCATAGTTACGATTAGCAATGGTGCCAGCCTCTTTCAAAATTGTGAATGCCATAGCATCTACCTCAAAACATGATGCAAATTCTATCATTTGAAAGTTGTTGCATGATTCTCAGGTGACCTATAAGGCCCATGGGCCTCTTGTTTATCAGACACTACAGTGTTTTTAACAGAAGTAGATGCTGATTTTATGTTCAGTTGAATGAATTTTTTCTTTTTATTGTCTTTACCACTGTCTTTACCACTAGGTGGTGGTGTTATCGAGGGGCTAGTGACTGGCCATGCTTGCGTGAACACTACTTGGCTCACGGCGAAGTCAAAAAGAATACACTAGGAATTCTATATTAAATTGCAAAATAATTCTATATCAAATTGCAAAATAAGTCACTGACGACTCACCGTGCATTGTCCACTCCAACCACCAGCTTTTGTAAATAAACACTGATATATAACGATCTACACTATACTAGTTCCACTCAGCAGTACTCGTAAAAAATGCGTCCTACGCCATGTCTTGTCACTTGACCCTGCCAATTTTACCGATATATAGTATACTATAGAATGCAATGCCACCGTATATGCTCGTGTCCCCTAAATAAAAACGTCTGATGACCCCCTTGTTTGCTTGTCAAGGATTTTTGTAGTTAGGAGTGACCCCAACTGAAATTATATGGTTGTGAACCCCCCCCCCCCCCCCCGAACTGAAATTGCTTCCTAGAGGCCCGACATAACAGAAAACAGTGATTTCATGTATATGTATATGTACTAAGCAATTTTAAAGTTTTCATAAATTCTGCAAATTGACCTCACCTCACCTGTCCTCTTCGTGCCCGCTGGCAAGTAAGGCTCCTGTGTAAATTAAGGTGTGTGTTTATTAAATTACTAGTAACCAGTCTCCTTAAAATAATCACTGCATTGCAATCCTGCAGAAGTATGCATTAATCCAGGTTTGAGAGGCAGGCAACTTTACAGGCTGATATAAACGTTTGGCAGCAATTATTTTGTGAAATTTTCAGTAAGGTTTGGTGTATTTGATGCACAGATTCTTTGCGTATATGTAAAAGAATCATTAAATAAAAGTGTATGGTGAAAATAGAGTAAAAAATACGAACTTTTGATTTATGCATGTAACAGGCATTTGAATATTATATTCAAATATAACGCCAGAACCTGAGCCCAAACAAAAAATATTGAAGCTCTTCGACAGTATGATTTATAGGTAACGTCTCTAATATTATATGAGTAAAAAATTTTCGAAAGGGGCGTAAAACAACATACACTCAATCAATCAATCTTCCCGGTGACAAAATGTGGTTAAAAATTGTACATGGTATTAAAATACATCTTCCGAGAAAAATACTAAATATTTCACTTTTTTGTATCAAAAAAAGTTTAATACTATTCAGAATTTAATTTGATTTATTAAAAAAAGTTCTCTTGTAAATTTCTTACAAACCTATATATGATTCAGCTGAAATACTTGTACTAAACATTGAACTCTATAGTTTGTAAACGGATACTTACGCAACTAAGGGGAATTGCTTTTAACATATCAAATTTATCATACACTGTACATGTGCAGCTATGTGCAGCGTGCGTATTTACACAGCTATTGTTCCGCTTTGATTGCATACAAATAAAATTAAATTTAGCAAATTAAACAGGAACTGATAAAAGTCAGTAACATTTTGATCAAACAATGTTAAACTATTGTACTTCTTCACTCAGCTCGTAAAGGAATGGGAAAGATTGTAGCGATTGGTGTCGTTTTATTTGCGGTACTTGTGTATTTTATTTTCAAATACATCGAGAATGATAATCATCTGGTACGGGTATCTTTTAACGAATCCTACGACTTCGTTATAGGTAAGGATTTTTTTTTTTAATTGAAACCTTTGAAGTCAGAGCGGTGCCTATGCCTATGAAAAACCCAAATTTGAAATTGTTGAAACATCCATGATATCAATTTTTTAGCAAGGACAGTTTAAACGAATGGTTTTAATAGCATATATATTTTGCTATATGAAATAATATGGAAATAAAATTTCTATGAATATTTTATAATGCAAGTTTTCAAAAGATACACTAAAAGACTAAATAAGATTCATCTGAATTGAAGTATGTTTATATAACTAAAGATTTTTCCGTTATTACCCGGTCATGACAAGAAGCACACGGCGGGTGTGACCAGTCTGTGGGGGATGCTCACTCCTCCATGGCTCCTGATCCCACCTCTGATGTTTTTGAGGTCCGTATTTGTTCTGCTCCTATTTTGTATTTGTTTTATGGACTTTTGAGCCTGAATACTGTTTGTTATCTCCATTTATTTCATATATATTATAATTTCTAGTCTATTCAATGTATTTTTATTTTTAAAAAGCTTTCGATTTCAACAAAGTATTTACACATTTTTTTTAATTGCCCAAAGTCGGTGCTGGATCGGCAGGATGCGTGCTTGCCAACAGACTTTCGGAAGACCCCGAATCCTCGGTACTCATCGTAGAAGCTGGGGGATCCGAAGATGATAACTCGATGATTCAGGTCCCAATTGCAGCTTTAGGTCTGCAAAATACGAAAGAAGATTGGGCCTTTAGGACCGTTCCTCAGAAGCATGCATGTTTAGGACTGAAAGAACAAGTATCAAATCTTTAATCTTAGGACTTAATTTAGTAAAGATTAAAAAGAATGCTATTCAATCTTTTTTTACTGTCCTGATTTTATGGCTCGAAATACATATTTAATTATTTGTAAGGAAAGAAAAAAGCAAAAGAAAGAGATAGAGAAATATAAATTATGCGCTAATATATATTTCTATTCATTCTAGAGAAGTGCTTGGCCAAGAGGAAAAGTTCTCGGGGGTTCGAGTTCCCTGAATATTATGCACTACATCCGGGGGAGTAAGCACGACTATGACAGCTGGGCCAGGGAAGGATGTGAGGGCTGGGACTTTAAGGCTGTCCTGCCCTATTTCATAAAATCTGAGGATAACCAAATTCTCGCTCTGAATGATTCTGGTAAGATGTGCTAATTTTAGTAAATTAAATTTTATACCTCCATATATGTTCCATGTATTCTATCACTAAAATCGTTATTGCTTACTTTAGAGTAGTCTTGGTACTTTTATATTTAATGTTTTATTGCCGTTTACATTGAAGTATCATATAAAGGCATCTATATGTATTAATTTTATTTTAATATCATTCCAAACATCATTTCAAAATAATCATTGATATAGAATAGGGATTGTATTATTGCTTTTTAACTCAAAAATAAAAGTATTGTAAATGTGGAAATTTGATGAGTACATGTACTTAAAAGTAACGCTTGTAACAGTCATAGTTTTTTTTCAGTATTCTAAGAATTCCAATAAAAAGTCAACAAATCAATAATAAAATTATTATTTTTACTTACTGTACATGTTGGACCGTGAAAGCTTAAGGTTTTGCCAAAGGTCAACATGTCCAAAAATTTATTTTTACCACAGTTCCAATTAAAACTATGTGGTTTATAAAGTTAAGACATTTTACAATTTATAAATATATCATTGATTAACAGATAGTAAGTATCACTTGATCAAATTCTGAAAACAATATATATCGAAAAAAAATTCTTTTTAAAAATGCATATATATTTTTTTTAAATACACCTAATTAATTACGTACTTTAAGTGCAAGTAATCATTGCAGAAACAGTATGTACATGTATTATGCTTATCGATAAAGGGCAGGTTGCACTTCGATACCTCTAGAAAGTTGTTTTTTTCTGTTTATTCTGTCCAAATGTTAAGATTTAAAACTAAAAGTACATTGCAAATGGCAGATTTTATAGGGGTTCTGTTGCTATACTTTTCATGCTTTAAATAACTGCTTTTCAGAGACCATTCATTACCAACTTCCCATTTATTGATAAACATTATATTATTATTTCTGCAATGATGGTTTTCACTAAAAGTACAGTTAGTCCATGAGCCAGGCCATGAATTTTTCGGTATCGGTACCATCTCGGGTGAATAATTTTCATAGTTAATTTTTGAAGGACATACATGTCTACCTTCAGAAAATGTATTATAGCATTCAATTGATTGTGGCTTTAATGGTGTATCAACTGTTTATATACACCAACCAAACTTGTTCGTTCTCTCAGCTCTGTCTTTGAAAGAAGGTTGGTTTTTCAATACGCAATTTCTATCTTATTTCGGATGATATTTTCTTGAAAATTCTTTTGAATGCAGACCATGCTATTACCCTGTTCACTTATTATTCAATATTGGCTCTGTAATGAGCCGTCTAAAACTTATAGGTACATAATTCTACCCTTGTTCATTAAAGTGGAATACCAATTTTGAAGTTTTGATCAAAGAAGACAAATTACTACTGTGACAATTTTCACACCAAAAACATATTGCATGGTCATTTTATTTAAAGAATTCACGTATTAACATTTCAAAACATTATTTCAGTAACAAATATATATAACTTGATTTAATACTTAATCTTTATCCCTATCCTTAAAATGAAAATTGAAGGAAAATTCCCTTGATTAACCCTGTGCGTATATTCTTTATTTAACAAAGATATTGTGAATATGTCAGATCTCAAGTAGAGGCTTTAGATAAAATGTTTTATTTATTTAATCTCATGCTAAACCATGGTGATAATGGACACTTATATGTTCATCTAAGTTAAACGTGTAATTTGTTATATATTTTTGACATCAAAATTAAGCAACATACGTGCACAATCATATATGTGCTTTGTGGGCAGTGGGCTGTGTCTAACGACGTGCAATAGCCTGACACCCCTTCCCTCCACTAGTTCGGGTAGAAGGAACCCGTACCCTCTTAAGGGAGATCCCTCTAGGAGAGCGCTGACGGGTCTCAAACCCTGTTGATTGAGGACTTGCCTACCTATTACGCATGTAAAGACTGTGTACCGGCGGACTCTGTGGAGGAAACCGTCATGGTTCAACGAAGAAGAAGGCGGACACAGCAAGCATAGTAGAATGCTTGGAGCAAGGCAAAGCACATATGGGACGTCTTGGTCACCCGCTGCATCTGTCTTTATCTCCAGACGTCCTGACATCTGTCATACCACTGGATCTATATGGTTGCGGGCGAGAGAGTGAGGTCGGCGACGCGCAACTCTTCTTCTTTTTAATCAAACTCATCGCGCAAGTCATTGATCATCTTCCATCCCTTCTATCATCCACCAAAGCCCTGTGGGGACAGGCAAGCAACGAAGGTGACAGGTGCAGGTTCTCTGGAAATCGGTAGTCGCGGACCTGCACACAGGCGGCACATGCCATATGGTCGCTCTTCACCGATCAGAGCAGCGTTGGAGTTCGGCAGCCACCTGTTCTACTGAGCAGCCCTCTTTAGGAACGCACTGCTCACCTCCATGACAAGAGGAGCGAATTATAAAAGGTATCCCAAACGTTGCTTGCTCCACCTTTCCCTAGCCAGTTTACCAAGGATCAGGATTACATCATTGTCATGAAGAGAGACAGACAGACAGTTCGTTTGTTCACCGAGGCTATGTGCTGGTACGGAGTGCTGGTACGGATCACCGTCTCACAGTCTCTAAACTTCACCACTCAACTTCCGGATCAAACTCAGGATACGTCCTCAGGAGACTAAGGCTTCAAAACGTCTCAACGTTGGTAAGCTCAAGTTGCCTTCCACCTCTTATTACTTTGCTGACACCCTGGAAGAACGCCTGAACTCCACCGTGCTGGATGACCAAGACGTGGAAGCAGTATAAAACACACTTCGTAATACAGTGTACAATACAGCATTCGAGTGTCTTGGGCTCTCTACCAAAAGTAACACAAGACTGGTTTGATGTGAACCGTGCCGAGATCAAGTAGCTTCTGTAGGACAAACATCGCGCTTACAGGGCTTATATAGATGATCCCACCTCCACAGCCAAAAAGATGCACTGAGGAACGCTTGCAGCACAGTACAGCAAAAGCATCGGGATATGTAAGACTCCTAGTTGAATGCCAAAGCTGACGAGATCCAACGCTACGCCAAATCTCATGACAGGGCTATAGGAAGAACTTTTACTGTGGACTTGGGGAAGTCTACAGGCCAACTCCATCAGGCTCATCCCCTCTCCTCAGTGATGACGGATTAACACTCATCACAGAGAAGGAAAAGATACTCGACAGGTGGGCGAAACATTTCATTGGCGTTCTGAACCACCCTTCTACCATCAACGACGAAGATATCAACCGTCTTCCCAGCTTCCCATCAACAAGTCACTGGATGTCGTTCCCACGTTGGATGAGATCCAGAAAGCAATTAGTCTGTTGTCAACTGGCAAAGCACCTGGCCAAGCCCGATACTCCATCCCAGCTGAGATTTACAAAGAAGGGGGCGTGGGTCTAGTCGAAAAACTCCCATCATCTGCTTGTGCGAGGATAGGCCTGACCAGTCACTTCCGCACCCACCGTCCAGGTCGTCCCCCTCCCCACGAAGATGAGACAGTGGTCATCGTCATCACCGTAACTAAACTAGTATATGTGCGTTGGTACTTATCTTTTTCTTTATACAAATATTTGAGGTACATGTAATTGTTGAATAAAAGTGGTAAAAATATGCAATATTTGTTAGAATCACGGCTAGTAACTCAGTAAATGCTCTTTTAATATGTTCATCATATATTTGAGTACTTCTGGTAAAACTTTCTATCACGGTTGGCAACTGTTTGACAAATACTTTGCAGGTTGCAAATATATTTAGCTCAAAATACCTAATTTGAGCAAATAAAGGGCAATAACTGTGTCTCCAGCATTGAAGCCAAAACAGATTTGATGCTATCATACATTTTCTCAGTAGTTAGGGGTATACCTTACCAAAGATCACTATAAAGTTTATTCACCCAAAATGGTATCGACCACCCCCAGTGGCTCATGGACTAAGTATAAAGCAGGTAGATTTGCTTTAAAATATGTAAATTTTTGCATATACATATTTTTTAAATATTTTTTTAAAGTGATACTTTCTATCTGTTAATCAATGATATATTTATAAACTGTAGAAGTTTTAACTTTATACCTCACATACTGGTATTTTGGCGCTATTGTAAAAATGAAGTTTTGGACATCTTGACCTTTGGCAAAACATTAAGCTAGATTCAAAAATAACACCTTATGAACAAAGCATAAAGACTGAATATCTTTTATTAACGTTAAAGAACAAGAAATACTAGCACCAGAATTTGGCTCTTTGATAAAAATGACAACAACATCTTTGACAGTAGTGATAGTGTGCAATTAAAAGCTTAACAAATATCTTTGGTTGACCCATTGGCAAATACTTCACAGAATACCATGGCAAAGGCGGTTACCTTACCGTGACTGACGGATCGACCACGCCCCTTGTTGACGTGTTCGAGAGAGCGATGAGAGAGTTGGGATATCCACTGACAGACTGCAATGGAAAATCACAGAAGGGTATCCGAAAATTTACACGGAAATTTTGTAAAAATCAATTGTTTTAAGTATTACAATAAGAGTATCATATGGTTTTGT